AGTCTGCCACTTCTAGTTCTTCAAGGCAGTGCGATTTATAATGAATGCATCCTATGCATACAAGGGTACATACAGAAATTCGTCCTACGCATAAAAGGAAATAAAACTCTGCTGTATTTAATGTAAGCAGATACCGCCGTTTCTGTATATATAGCTTCGCTTAATAATTTGAAAACGTTCTCTTAAATCGACATTTCCATGAGCGAAATGGAATGTTTTTTACAATGAATTGCAAGAAATTTGGCTTTACTCGATGCAGGATGAATTTCATATTTTACCAATTAAGCAAGCGAAAAGCAACTAAACTAAACAAGCTTTAACATTTTTTTGCTCCATCTTGGACACTATATATGACTTAAAAATTGAAAACACTATTAATGAAATTTATCTCAAATTTCAATTTGCATGTATTATGGGCCAATCATTTTTTAATTTAGTTCCTCCTTCAGATATAAGGATGTTATTCCTGTCCTTACTAGTTTACGATACTCACAAAGTCCCATAACAAATCATCGGGAATAAGTACAATTCATAAAGATTTCAAGATTTTATCTTCCACCTCCAATGGTTTTAATTCGAGGATTTTGCAACCATTGCCTATCCTTGAAAATCAGACTTGTCCGAATAATGCCTATAGGTGTCTCATGCAAAATAAAATGCAAAACGGTTGTCTTATTAGTGAAAAATCAGTCCACACTTTTGCCTTAGCTAGTGTAACATCCGTTTTTCATTGCTTCCTTGTTATGATAGAATTAGGGAAAGTTATTCTCTAATTTGCGTACAATTAGGCCCACCGTTTCCTCATTGCTTTAAAATCAATCCTTCATTGTTTCCTTAACCCTTTACCGCCGTATGTCCCTCTCCGGGAACATAACTTTCCCAGAGACTTAAATTATACGTAAACTATTGAGTGTAGCAACCTGAGGACGTTTATACGCAACAGAAAACATTTTAAAGTTGTCGTACGTGGCGGCTACCATCAGTGCAAGTCATTTTGCGCTCACTAGAACGTATCCTTTTTGGGATGTTGTCTTGTGACAATATTGCTCCGGTTACTCATGTCAGGCGGTAGAGGGTTAATAGTGTTGAATCAGGCCAGCAGTTTCCTGATGTCGAATTACTCACGTGGGCGTCATCACGCGATCCAAATCTCGCCTTTAATTCCGCGTCATGAACTAAATCCGTGGCTCGGACGAACAGCTGAAACTTTCCGTCATCTAACTCGCCCTTGAGGCACGAGCCCAAGATTGAAGTTTCATCGATGGAGATTATTTAACCAAGGGAAGTTCTAAATGTAGTGCTTTGGCAGGAAGTAGTGGAACAAATTACAATTTGTTTACCTACGTTGGAACATTCAATAATAATAGAAACATAAATACTTGTTTCGCAGAAATAAATACTTTCGAAAGCTTGTTTTCGCGCGAAAAATTAAACTGTTAGAAAAAAGAACTAAAATGATCTCTCAAATAAGTTGGTCTAGTTCATTGAATGAATAGTATTTTTAAACGTCGCTAAATTATAGGCCACTTTTATTGCCTTTGGCCAAACGTTTTCATGACATTGACACAAAATTGTCCATGAAGTACACTTCTAATTGTAATTGTTTATGGGAATATCAATAACACAGTTAAATAATTATCTCTTATCATGTATTCTACCGTCCGAATGGCGCGCACTGAATTACATTCATTTCCTCGCGCTGACTAACGCGCCTACGCCGCTTCACGTAGCCTAACTTACGCGGGACGCTGTCTCGGTGAACGCGGCTGGCAGCTTCGGAGTCGCGCTTTGCTGTTCATTGCGTCAGCCTTACAAAGAATTCCAAATCGCAGGAGAAAAAATGGAATCAATTTCTGACAAAAAGAATAATTTGCGCGCTGAAAAAATATGGGAAGGGAACAGATTTCAAGGCCGAGATGTGTTTTTTGGAGAAGTTAATGAAATCTCAATTACCGTGACAATACATACGATCTATATGGAAATGCAGTGTCGTCGAAAGTAATTTAGTCATTTGTCTTTCAAAAAGGCAAACGAAAATAGTATGATTGATTGAAGAAAACAGCTGAATTATGCAACCATTCGTCACATCGTCCGAAGTTCGTCATGACATAGTAATCAGACTGAGCTACCCGCACACTTGTAACTGACGCGGCAGGCGATGAGATTGTTGGCAATATTCGCTCTTCTAACTTCCAAAGTCACGAACACAAAAAGGGATAGTTTGATATCGTGAGGATGGGATAGAATATTCTGTCGTTGACCAATCAGTTGATATACCGAAGATCAGCCTAATTATGTAGATATATAAAAAGCACAGGAGTTGAATACGCAAAGGGACTCTGATACACGTGTATAGCTTTATCATCAATGTAACCGAGACAACCGTTGGTGATAAGGCAATATACGCTCCAATATATAAAAGGGGAAGGCTTAAGATATATATCGCAGGGTGTAAACCGACTAACCGATCATAAGTTAAATCGGCGCTCATAATCAACATAATTTGTAAGCACAGCGTTTCGGTTAAGGGAAAACGGGCGCAATACTGTCATAAGGGAAAACATTTACTATGATACGACCGTCTGAGAAGGTAGTCGACTAGTTGTTGGCTTGTCATTTTTACGAGGCTATACTTCCGATAAATCAAAATATGCAAAACAAACAATAAAAAAAAACAAATTTTATAAGATTATATTTCCTTTTATAGCTATGAAAAACACGAGATTTCCAAAATTTCATGAATTGTGTAACGAACGCTCTTTCGGAATCCGGGTTCCCTACTTGTAGGAGTTGTAGCACCTGCCTACAGGTAAATGTATTGAAAATATCACGCATTTCAGAGAGGAAAAATATTAATTAATTCGATGATCTTGGTAATAAATTAATTCTCTTTTAATTTCCCTAGATTAACACTAAGTCCATGATCCAAACTTATGTTCGTAAATCCCGACAACAGCGATGCATTCACTGTTCTTCCAAACGTCCAAGAGTTCAAGGCCTAGAGTTCAGACACGCGACACTCCACACACCACGGAGGCTGGACGCCAACTGATGCTGCGACCCTGCCCTGCGTCACGAGTTTTGTTTTCATTTGAATAAAATATAGTAACCCGATTCCACTTATGGGGTAGGTCACTCCATTTGTGGACAACAATACAGACTGGATGGTAAATACGTAAAGCGAATTTTTTCAACCAAGAGGGCTTTACACCTCGAGTTGTTCGCATATGCGAGAATTGATGGAAAAATTTGCACGACTGTCCATCTTCCCACACCATTTCCATCCCAAATTTTGCTACGGTAATTTTTTCAATATCGGAAGCTCGAACACCGACGCTGAGAACGGAAACATGAAGAATAAGATTGCGGAACTCAGGAATTATTTTTTGATTGTTTAGTAACTTCGTGATTCAACAAATTATTGAAATGTAGAAGAACTGACGAAAACGAATGGCTTTCCAAAAATATTACGCGCCTACCATCAACAACATTTTATTTCTCATCATCAATATAAAATGAACACTAATTTATTATTAAGATTGATGAAAATATCAGGATAAACGAGAGATATGGGGATAAATTCTCAGCCTTTATTGGATGAATTACAAGGTAATTAACAAATACGGCTAACTAATTAATAGAAGGTAATCAACTACTACAGGTAATTTTACTAAAAAGTAATCTTATGGGTAATTAGGTAGCATTGAGCACAAGGCTTGCTTACGTTCTCTAATATTAGGACAGAGACGTGAAAAATCGCGCAAAATTTCTCTAATTATCGGTAAGTTTTTCATAATTCAGGCTCTTGTAAATTCTGACGTGTGTGGAACATAGTGAACATGCAACAGAACAGACGCAAAGAAAGAACAATTAACACTAAATAAACACGACTAAAGTTACCCGGTCGAAGGAAATGGCACCAAGAGTCAATTTTGAATCTTACAACCCTGGGATAGGGAATAATAATAAATGTTAAATTCAACAACGCAAATTATAATTACTATAATAAAGAGAAAAAATTACTCCTTCTCACTGCTGCGTACTCAGGGTTACTAATGGACAGCAACAATAACATTAGAACTTTTAATTAGGTAGATTGCATTTCGGTCAAAGTTAATACAGCAATACTTCCTGCATTGTAGGCTTCATGCAATGCATTTATTCCAATATTAAACATACATGCATTTATTCCAGGCTTCAATCTACTAAAAATATTTCACTCCTATATCCTTAGGCACAGAATTGCATGCTATTGTAGAAATCGTCTCTAACTGCTTGCTTCTGTCAAGGAATTGACCGAATTGAAACATTCATTCATTTATTCGAGAATGAAAGCTAGTTAAAATGATTAAAATATTTTATATATGTTTTTAGGCACAGTATACTATACATACATGCCCTGATTAACATCATCTTTCTGAACCTTTTATAGCCGAGGGTTTGACTGAATTGCAGTCAAACATTAACTGTAGGAATTAGTCGGAAGCTCAGCCGAATATTGAAAATGGAAATGACTACAATGATCATTGCTTCTTAAAAAAAAACTTCCGAGAGCAAAATTTATAGTCAGTTGATGGGATGTACAAAGCCCGGTATCCAGGGCTGCGACCTGAATGCCTAAATAATTAAAATCAAAACTTGATTCAACACGTTGACTCCGAAGTGGTACATGCGCGTACCACGAAATGTATTTCTCCAGGACGTAGTGGTACATAATTCAGGCTGCCTAAAATTGGCCAAATCCGAGAACAAAAATAGCCAAAAAAGGCCGATAACTCAAAATATACTAGTTTATTTGTAGGTTCCACTATAAAAATTCCATTCCTTTTCTTTTTGCAGTATCTAAAATTTAATTAGGAAGTACCCCTATCATAAATTTTAGCCGGCCAACGTTATTGAGAAAAACTAAATCACGGAATTTGTCCGGAAAAAATTACAGTCTGGCAACCCTGTTTAAAAACAGTACAAAAAATGAAATAGTAGTACAATATGAAGCAATCGTAGTCAACGTGTTAAGGAACTGAAGTTGATTTTTGATCCAAACTCAACTCACGTAACCAATTGGGACCCGCATCATTAATGCAGAGGCAAAGATGTTCTCTCTGCACACGGCAACACATCAGGGAACATCTCAAGAAATAAAAGCCAGTTTTTAATCAATAGAAATGAGCATATGCGTACAGCCCCGCATGCAACAAAACCTATGATGCAACGATTACACTCTTCAGTACAAAACAAAGCCATGCGACAGACGCTTGGTCATAATTCCTAAAAAGTGGCACACCTTCTTTATTTAACATCTCCATTTAAAGCTCCTGCAGCAACAGGAGAGAAAATGCAGGAACATCTGATTATTCACGGTGTCTCTACAAGACTCGTGGTTGTTCATCATTTACTGTCAGTGACACGTCACGTAACAATTCAGGCTCATATTTTACTATCCGGAGCAAGGTTTACTAAATAAGAATGAACATTCCGAATGCGTGAGCACCGGCGCCACCATAGTAGAACAAAACTTCTACGGGGCTCAGCCTAAAAAGCAACGCATTGTTTGGACGAGAAAAACAAATCGCAACTTGGCTGAACAAATCATATGGAACTATGACGAGGCTTAGTGCTGAGACGTGGGACCAGAGACGTGTTCAGTGCTGAGACCTGGGACCAGAGACGTGTTCAGAGCTGAGACCTGGGACCAGAGACGTGTTCAGTGCCGAGACGTGGCACCAGAGACGTGTTCAGTGCTGAGACGTGGCACCAGAGACGTGTTCAGTGCTGAGACCACTTGATGGTCTTCAGGTCGATGCCTTCTTGCACCATCTCCCACAGCGGGCTGGAACAGCAGCAATATTACTACTCAGATCAACATAAGGGTAAAACGTGCATCACCGCATGCATAAGAACGGCAAATATATTTGTTTTAGTTATTTTTAGTATTCAATTCTGAGGACATAAGTACTAGACAATTACCTAACACAGTTCAATTGAGACAAAAATGGATAGAAGCAGTTCTAAAAATGGAAGATAAGAATTTACAAAATAGTTACACTCGAGTTAACGCTGCGATCCACTTCAAGCCTACAAGCAAGTACCAAATATAGTTACATCGTATTTTGTCAAAAAAAGCTAGTATACAAAAAGATATGGCATTAATATCTAACAATAGGACACAAAAAATATTTTTCCTAACACTGAAACGAGTGGAGATCAAAACAAGACGCGTGCTCACCTCATCTCACGTAGGCGATGCACGTGTTGCACGAGGTGCTCACCTCATCTCACGTAGACGGTGCACGTGTTGCACGAGGTGCTCACCTCATCTCACGTAGACGGTGCACGTGTTGCACGATACGCTCGACGGTGTAGTCGACCTCGGCCTCCGTCGTGAAGCGCCCCAGACCGAACCTGCGCGCCAGCGAAGCGTTACTCATGTTACTGCGTTACTGAGGTTGCAGCAACATTAAAATAACAAGTTATCAACGAGGCTTCGAATGTGTGGCGTTACAGCATAATCAGCCGAGTAACAGAAATATAAGGCAGTAAAGCGTATCGACCAAGGCACATAAATGCATCATGAACCGCGACACACCGCGCAGGTGCAGGCCAGTGATGGGGTAAGCCCTTTTCTCTTACATTTCTAGACCGATGATCTCCCTGACAAGCGCAGCGCTAAAAACTGCAGCAATTAGCTAAAAACATCTACCATCGACCAGATCTTCCTCTCCCCTCCATTAGCAACATTACTGCCCTACCACAACTACCCCCCCCTCCCACAACCTTATGGAGGAGTGGGCGAGGTCCTCCTCAGCACCGATGGCCCTCAGGACATAGGAAGGCTCCAGGGACGCGCTGGTGCAGGCGGAGCCGCTGCTCAGGGCCACATCCTTCAGCGCCATCAGCAGCGACTCTCCTGCCATTAGGAGAATCAGTTCAACGCCTTACTTCTCCAGCAATAGTAGCTGTAGTACTATTTATCCCACAATTATTANCAAAACCACACCCACAACACACAACATCTGTTTGGGTGTGCTGAAATTCCAACCAGCCTGCAGCCTGAAGATCTATGGAATAAGCCAGTGGAAGTGTCCCAATTGGTCAGAGTGTGGCACGACCGGCTCGGCGCTCCGGAGGGGGGTGGGCCTGGGCGGCACTCAGTCGAGTGACGTTATGGTGATCATCATCATCACGACCAAGGTATGTTTAATTTACTTAAATATTAGTAATGAATGAAAAAACAAGATATTTGAGGAACTTAATTGAAGCGGACAGAGGAACACAGAGACTCAAAGATATAACAATGCAGGAATCCTCAAACAGGCAAATCTCTGTAAAGTTTTCAGCTCACGTCACACACCGGAGTAACGAACAAAATTTTGACGCAATCCATCTGATGGATGAACGACAACACTGAGAGTTATGTTTACGTGCCCTCACCTCATACCACGCTCCTGCCCTCCGCCACTGAGCAGCGCCTCCACCCTCACGCGGGGCCGCCTCCTGACGTAGAGGCAGCCGACGCCCTTGGGTCCGTACAACTTGTGGCCGCTGAAAACAATTAAGTTGATTATCTACACAGAGAGACCATCTGTGTTCATTATAATCTTATAAAAGAATATTAACGCGCTTCGTGCCGGTAAGGAAATTTGTATTGATGGTCTACTTGCAGTCACATGCTGAGCGCAATGAAATGGAACAACAGCAAAAAAAAAAAATTCTAGGTAAAAGGACAATGTTCGGATTATTTTGCCATAGAGTCCGATATGGAATAATATAATTGAGGATTCTTCTAAATTCTTTATCAGGCGAAAATATCATATAGTCTAAAGAGGAAATGTCAAGTCCTACTTTCTCTGCCTATCACTGTTGGTAAAAAAAATCTTCCACATCAATCTAAATTCAGTTAGATTTACTGTACAGGAATTACGAAATTCTCAACAGGAAACTAACAGAAGCGCATACATAAACATCTTTACTTCAAATGAACCTAAAATGTTGATTGACATTACGTCTTTTCAGCAATACATGTGACCAGTGGGATATCCAGCAAATGATTAATGATATTTTCTCTATCAGGGCTTCTATTAAAGAAAAATAATAGTTTGATCATGGTGATGTTATAGCAGTTATATTCAATTGATCTTCATCTTCAAGAGCTAATTAAAGCAATGCGAGCGAGAATGCCGGGCTGGAAACGACCAAGCACTGAATAAAAAAGAAAATGAGAAATAAATAACTTCTGAGTAAATATTCCAACCTTATCGACAGGAGATCAATGTTGAATTTGTTGACATCAATAGGGATTTTGCCCACAGCCTGGGCGGCGTCGGTGTGGAAGAAGACTTTGTTAGCGCGGCACAGCGCCCCGATTTCCCTGTAATGGCGCCCAGGAAAACGGTTAATAAACACGTGCCTCCGCGACGGCTGGTGCTTTGATTATTTAGGGCGTGCCTTTAAAAATGACTTTAGATGTTTACAACGCAGATTCGTTGTTTAAATAGCAATATTCCCCACTTTACTACCTACTTTAGTCTTATTTATTTGACTGCTACCTTCATGTCTCTTACTCTATAGGTTGCTTGACAGCTACCTTCATGTCTCTTACTCTATAGGTTGCTTGACTGCTACCTTCATGTCTCTTACTCTATAGGTTGCTTGACTGCTACCTTCATGTCTCTTACTCAATAGGTTGCTTGACTGCTACCTTCATGTCTATTACTCTATAGGTTGCTTGACAGCTACCTTCATGTCTCTTACTCTATAGGTTGCTTGACAGCTACCTTCATGTCTCTTACTCTATAGATTGCTTGGCAGCTACCTTCATGTCTCTTACTCTATAGGTTGCTTGACAGCTACCTTCATGTCTCTTACTCTATAGGTTGCTTGACGCCAATCTCGTTATTGACTGCCATGACAGACACTAAGGCGGTGTCAGGACGTATAGCTTTGGCTAGATCATTGATGTCCAGTAGCCCAGTAGGCTGCACCGGTAGNGACACTAAGGCAGTGTCAGGACGTATAGCTTTGGCTAGATCGTTGATGTCCAGTAGCCCAGTAGGCTGCACCGGTAGATAGGTCACATCATAGCCTTCATGCTCCAGGGCTCGGCAGGAATCCAGCACGCACTTGTGCTCCTGCAGAACAAACAATTGTACACTGGAGTTAGAGCCTAAAACTACCGGATAAGGAACTTTAATTATCTTCAATAAATGAACTTCAAAAAACGATCAAAAGAAACTATAGCATTGCAACAAAATCATGTTTGTGAGGAGTCAGATTACATGATAGGTGCTATGAACTACAAGTATCATGCTTGTGGTAGTGATGCCTTGTACAAATCTAATACAATATATTTTAATACAAATATCATTATAACAGGAAATATAAAAATATAATAATATTCACATAGTTTAACACTTATCTAGGCATCAAAGTCAAAATACAAAGCATTTAGTTACCGTCTGAGTGGTGATTACATGTCTCTTTTTTGCCTTGTAGAATCTGGCCACTCCTTTGATGCTAATATTATTACTCTCAGTGGCTCCAGAAGTGAAGATGATCTCTTTCTTATCAGCACCAATCAAGTCTGCTACTTGCTGTAAATGAATTTTAAGGTTTGTAATGCATCAAAATTTAGATGAGATGTTGACATTTACTGATAGCCAAGCATGATTTACACTATCTGATTCAAAAAGAACCATTTTGAAGATGAGTGTTACTAACACTAATTAACAGAAAAAACAGAAAATTGCCATTAAACATATTAAACAAATTTATAAGTATTTATTGGATGACAGAAATCAATGATTAATTTATGCTTGAGAATAATAAATTTGCTCATTGCCATTTTATACCTTGTTTACAAATATTGACGGAGGTATATGGTATCTCAGAACCCTAGGCTAGCTTGGTAACCTGTCTGGCGTTCTCAACAGCTGCTTCTGTCTCCCAGCCATAGGAATGAGTGCGGGAGTGTGGGTTCCCATACTGGTGTGTGAGGTAGGGCATCATCTTGTCCAGCACTCGAGGGTCCAAGGCTGTTGTGGCCTGAGCATCCAAATACAAAGCCCGTAGTTCAGGCCCCTCTGAATTGCTCTCATTTGTATTTGACTGGGATGCATCAACAGACTGAGTTTGCAGCCAAGATGTGGAAGAGAATATTGCACGAGCTGTGGAAAAAAATTTGAGATTAGTACTCAAAGAGAAACTATAACTTCAGTGTCAAACTTCATGTAAAAACAATGGTAAAAAAGTGAATCTAGTTGAGAAACATAGCTGAATCTAATGTAAAAGATTTGAGCAGGTCATAAGTCCACGGAGTGAAGAGAAAGTAAACTACCCAATCCATTTATCCAGTATATACATGATATAATACTGTGAATGTACAACTAATGTCATCTGTTTCCTATAGGTAATTTTTTAACAACTGTTGGTATATTCATCCACAGAGAATATTTTTACTAAGTCAGAAGCGGTAAATATGTCAGGATGTGATTTGGTCTGACTGGCCCGATAATATTATATCAATGTTCAGTATTGATTATTAACCGGATGATCTTAGGTTTTGAGTTGAGGGTCCAAGGGTTCGTATCTAAGGTCCGAATAAGCAGCAGGTTGATTGAGAGGCGAGTTTCTTAGTTATATATTTACGAACTAGATAGGAATACAAGGAAGCTTGGTGATAAGTACAAAAGGTAGGTTTTAGATGGTTACTCTAATGACGGAGGCTACTCGACGCCGGAGTCTGGCCTGGTCCTGCGGACTACATGATGATGGCTTACTACGTCTCGCCTGGGGCTGCCTAAGACTGACTGAAGGTCCGCTCGGAGAGCTTATATAAGCATGCTATAGTGACGTCACGGAAGTGACGCAGTAAGTGCTAACACAAGTATGGGAGTTACGGTAGACAGCCAGCAGCCTGACAAATACATTTGAGTGGGCTTCTAAGAACTCTTCTATCATTATATACAGTAGATCTTAAATCGTACATTTAATTGAAAGAGGACCAGCAGCAACAGTGGATCGATGTGCCAGCAAAACCAATCGATCTGTGGCAGATAGTAGCAACCTGGTGACTTGTTGGTACAACATCCTAATCCAATAGGTATTTATTTTGCAGATCCAAAAATAAAGTTTAAAGCAAGATCAATCTGAAAAAAAAGTATAAGAAATTAGGTTTAATTTCCAGTTCTATGGGCAATATTCTTACAAGATTATCATATACCACACTTCTACTTACTAGAAATAAATCTCATTAAAAATGTCAAAATAATAATTGATAATTTATATGCTAAATAATTATTTTATTAGGAGGTATGGTAGAATCATTTGAAGCCTAGTCACTAATGTTCTGATGCTTATAACTTGAGGAATGCAGGTTAGTAGAAATTCCAACAGATAAGAACTGAAAAGAAATTCAGAGTCTGGATTTTAGGTAAGAGTTGTTGACTTGTTCATCATGGGATACATTTTTTAATTATTACAATAACATATGAGCATGTATTATCCAATGTGTGGGTAGAACAGAGTGTAGAGAATAAGTTGACCATATCAAAATCTAATGTCACGTTTCTTTTATGGCTTCCTTCAAACTTATGAGTGTCAAGTAGCAATACAATAGGAAAATTTTTGTAAACTTCATTCAATTAGAAATTTTTAATAACAGTCTCAATAATTTGATAATTTTAGAATAACATTATCATGATAGAAGAGGTAGATCAATTCAATAATAAAAATATCTATGAGCTATTTAATGAACTATCTTTACAAGCCCAAAAATCAAAAAGAACATGAAACTTCTATTCTACTCTCATTTAAAATTGGCAATAACAATTTGGCACATTGCAAATTAAATTTATAGTTACTTACTTTAAACATAAATTTAAATTTTTGCTCTAACCCTTTCCACCCAGTTTTGTAATGCCTTTCTATTCTCTTGCTTACAATTTGGCCCATTCTTATGGCCTTTGCTCAGGCATGAGGCATGGAACTGGTTGGGAAAATTCCAACTTTTTTTCTGAAATATTGTGGCTCTAATATCATGAATTTTTTTATTGAAGACATTGCAGTTCACAACCATGTCATTTCATAAAATTTTCAACTTATGCAGTTCACAGTAGGTACTTAGTAGTAGGCTCCCACCAAAATATCCTGCATAATGATAAATGAGTCAACCCAAAACCTTTCATTGGAGATCCCATAGTTGTGGTTACATCAGACTGCATAATCACGTGTTCAGTTGCCTCTAAAGTAAGGACATGTTATTGTTGCTGTTTCTAGGACAAAATGAAGAGATTTGGGGTAACACATGCACAAGCATTGGCAAATCAGCTTGCAGTTCATAAATGGATCATTATGGCTGGGATATGGAATTCATGGCTCAAAGAAATGGAATCTCTTGCCCAGTGTGCAGAAAGTGGGTGAATAACACAAGATCTTTGGCAACTCATCAGCAGCAAAATTCACATCTTCAGAAGATCTTGCCAACACATTTGGATTGAAATTATTGCATTTTAGATATTCGCCGCTCTTCGGCCAACTATTTAGAAAATAGTTGAAAATCTGAAAGACTGCAAGCGCACACAGTAAGGTTTCTGGTATGTTAGATGGATCAGGATGCAGTGAAGCTTGTCCGGAAATCACTTGCGATGAGTTTAAGTGTTGCAGTGTGTGGAGAGTGAGGGATATGCTATCAGTGTGTACAGTGGTGCTTCAGTTCAGTGATATGTAGAGTGGTGTACATATCTATGATATGTACAGTGACTGCGTCTCTGTTTCGCAGTGGTTGTAGGGCCGATGTATGCACAGTGATGATGGCACCACAGCACCAAGATGTAGGAGCTAGCCGTGGGTTTGAGCCCTGGGAAGCTCGGTTAAAGTCTTGTTGTTGTTAATGGACTTCACTTAGTCACCATCAAAAACATGGTGCTTTCAGCATGGCCTTGGGTGTGTGTCTCTAAACACTCTGGGTATGTTACCTGCGGAGATCTCAAGTTCTTAATTTCAATGTTGTTAGCAGCATTTTCTCATTAAAAATTACCCAGCAATGCATTTTGAAATTGCTAGCGACGTTTTGGGTAAAAAATCCATATCTCGGCAATGCAGCTTGTAAACTCTGCACTCTGGTCTCTGGCTTGCAAATCTATTAAATTGCAGCTTGAAAAATCCATTCGTGGTTCAGAAAGTAGATATTTTTACTAGGCATGTAGTAGATATTTTTACTATTATTTACTAGGCATGAAGCTACCTTTATTTTCCACCTTTTGAGCCTCAAACTCTGCTTTCAACCAATTTTGGGAGCAGCAAGATTCTTGCTAGATGAATTAAATTCTATCTAATTATTAACAAGAATGCATGATCTAATGATGATCAGCTGTGAGATTCCCAATGTATGAAAAATTTCTGACTTGGGAGCCACAAGATTTCATTTTTTCCACAAGCAGGAAAATTTCCATAGGGTAAACAAGGTATATTCCAACACTTCTCAACTTTTTTCCTTTAAATTGAGCTTTGTCTTAGTTCCACACATTCGTTGATGGTTGAAATAGTGACGTTATACTATTGCGTACCATACTATTGCCAAAACACTAACGGTAGCTCTGGGCCGTCTGGTGGGAAAATGTTAAGATCCAAAGAGAGACACTGCACGTCACCCAGTCCTAGTGAGAACATCGAAAAACGGGTCAAAGTTGATAGTTGACCTTGCTCTACCAAATAGTGATAAACTGTGTAGAAAGAATATTATGGTTTGAGACTTTTAAAAAAGTCTGTGAATATATTAGGAATCTTTTAAGTATACTTGTATTTGCTGATTTCAAGTGGTAAATAAATTAATAGATGATTAAGTTAAGCAACGGTTTTAGACACAAAAACTAATTCCGACACAGCTTGGAATTAGACACACACAGCTCATTCCGAGCTGTGTACAAAAATTAAAATTGTCTTAATTAAAAGCTGAATAGCTCTTGATCAAAAGCTAAATTAAAAATTTGAAATTTTTTAATTAAGCTCGTTCCAAACTGTGTCGTACTCCGATACAGCTCACACAGGATGTCAGAATTCTAACACAGGGCGCCTGTATTACAAATTAATAGTTTGAAGTGCTGCTGGAAAAGCCTGGAATTAGTCTCACAATATGCCAAATTTAGTCACACACAGCATCGGAATTCAGGGATTTTGTAGGTTTGAATTCTAAAGGCTTTTAAATAAATATGGCAACAGTTTGACATGTGAGTTTGTGACGTTTCATCGTTGCTGGCACGTAGTGTGGTATTTTGAGAGTGACGCAAACCAATCAGAACTCGAGTTGCGCTACTTGCGCATACGGTGATCTATTTATAGCCATTCATTTCTTGCTACATCCTTCATGTGTCAGAATATACCGCGTTTACCCTAATGCTTTAGCTAGATAATCTTATTAAAAATTAGAAAAACTATCTTTTTTAAGGTAATTTTCAAAAATTGCTTGTAGAATTATAGTTTTTAATAGCAACTTTTATAAAATTCAGCTAGATATTTCAAATTGGAATAATAGTAAAAATTTTTTTATCATAGACCTAGTGAATTATCTTCCGGACACTGAGACCGTTTGATCTCTTCCACTCCAACTTTCTCTATCATAATTTCCTTCATTTCTTTCTAATATTTCTCTTCATTATTCGGTGCCAAACTGGACTACACGAGTCAGGTGGCGCCTGATGATACCCCTTGCTTGTGACGAGATAATAGGCGATGGTAAAGCCGGGGATCCAGTGCCAGTGCATGGACCAAACTTTCCTTCAGTTTTTCGCCTCTCCTGAAAAATTTTAATTTTCGTTTTTTGCCTTTTTGTAAATCTATCTCCTCCTACAGTTTTCAAGCTACAGCAATGAGACATATACCGTTCGATTTGTAAAGACCAGGCCTATCGACTCTAACATCACTTTTTGGAATTTCGGTCTGGTTCGTTTTTTATATGGGGAAGAAGGGGGGGGGGAGGGGTGAAAAATGTAAAAATGGGAAAAAAATGACATAAAAAAAAAATAGGTGGAAAATGAAAAAAGTGATGTTAGAGTCGATAGATATGGTCTTTACAAATCGAATTATACGTGTCTCGATGTTGTAGGATGATATTTGTGGGAGGAGATAGATTTTCTGAAGTACCCCTTTTTAGCCGTTTTCTATCAATTTTTTCGAACAATTCATAGGAGCAAAATGTTTTTTTTACATTTTACGTATGTATGTGAAGTTTCATGACAATCGGATAATAACTGTAAAAGTTTTCGTATGCTAGGGCGGTCCCCTTAAGTATACTTGTATTTGCTGATTTCAAGTGGTAAATAAATTAATAGATGATTAAGTTAAGCGACAGTTCCTGGCCTTTCCAAGCTTTCAGGTCCTGCTTTCCAATATGCTATGTGCACTAGTTAATTTATTATCCTTCTAGAATTCCACACTATCAAGATTAAGAATTCCACACTATTAAGATAAGAATATCTTAACATTAAATGTTAAGATAATCTTATTAAAAATAAGAAAAACTACCCTTTATAAGGTAATTTTCAAAAATTGCTTGTAAAATTATAGTTTTTAATAGCAACTTTTATAAAATTCAGCTAGATATTTCAAATTGGAATAATAGTAAAAATTTTTTTATCATAGACCTAGTGAATTATCTTGATATTCATATCATATAGTAGTAGTCTAATTCATAATTGTAGCCTCAGCCCTCATCATCTAGGCATGGAATATATCTACTTGGTGAGTCGCAACTGAATTTTTTGAGCCGTGGTTTTATGGATTTGCCAGCCGTGATTCCATTTCACCGAGCCGTGAATTCCATATCTAGGCCATGAAAAGCCATTTACGAGGCGCGAATTTATTTACAAAGTCCATGCACGTGTTACCCCAAATCTCTAATTTTACCCTAAAACAGTCAAATGGCAAAGATAAAATTTGTCTTTACTGTAAGTTGAGCATGTGTTAATGCAGTCTGACTGCTTTGACATGACCGCAACTATGCACCTGTCTCTTATACACATCTAGATGTGTATAAGAGACAGCACGTAGNTTCGAGCCGCGAGATTTCATACCTACTGAAATTATATGATATTAGAGCTGCGATATTTCAGACAAAAATAGGACTTTTCCAGACTAGTGGGCCAATATTACAAA